AAATTAATTTAAGGATTATATTTTAACCCTCTCATCTCTCATAATAATATATATATTAAATATATATATTTAATGCCTTAAAAATTAAAAATATATATTCAAAACTTTCTTAAATATTAAGTAAAAGGATTAATTGATAAAAAAAGATTTTGTTAGAGAATTTAGAATTATCCAAATTATATGATAAATTCTGTTGCTGCAAAGTTAATAACAACCACCAAACAAAGCTGACGAAATTCTGAATCCAAAACATGCGGGTCGATCGAGTTTAAGCAAGCGTTATAGACATAAGAGAGAAACATTTTAATTTAGTCCTCCATTTTTTTATTTTTAAAAAATATTATAAAATATTTTTTCGTGCCTCTTTATAGTTTCTTTTTTAATCTCTTTAAATGTGAATTTCCTTTTTCCTTTCTCCAAATATTATGATATTTTTTTTATTAATTCCTTATCCCTAAGAAAAATATGATTTATTTTTTCATTTAATCTTCCATTTTAAAAATTGTAATATTTATAAATATCAAAAGATAAAACAAATAAAAAAGGAGTAAATGGATGGATCATTTGGAAACCAAAAAAGTTACGTAAAAAACTTATTCGAAAAAAATTAGGCTAATATAGAAGATGTTCTGCTATTAAATTTTAATTAAATAATTTTAATCTTTTGCATATTATAATTATATAAATTTTTACTTATTTAAGTCGGATATATTACCAATTTTAATATTAATAAATATATATCATAAATTCATAAATTGGTGATTGGTACAATAGAATTGGGACACGAAACAAATGAACAGAAAAGTAACATATTAAAATCCTTTTTTTAAAAGATAAAATCATAAAAAAAAAGGTAGGAACGAAAATGAAATTACAATAATATGGCGACCCGATTTCGCATTTCATTTCCCTATCTATTTTGTTTCGTAAATATCTCTTTTGCCGCTACAAATGCTACCATCATCCACTGTCCTATCCCTCGCCGGCGCCGGCGTGCCGGCGACGTTTTCCGGCAAACTGGGTCACCGCGAATCCAAGTTTGCCGCCAGACCCAGAAAGGTTCTCAAATGTTCGTGCATAAAGGGGTTTCCTTTACATCAACACACCATCTATGGTTTGAGTTCGAAGAAGAGAAACTCACTTTCCAGCTTCGCATTCGGTAAAAAAGCAGAGGATAGCTTTTTCTCGGTAATTTCCTTTTTTTTTTTATAAAAAAAATATTATGTTGGTTAATTTAATTTAGCTGTCAAATAGCATGTTTAAAATTGTACCAAAAAAAATATAGAACGTTTAAAGTTTAAAGTTCGGTTGCAGTTTGGATAACGTTGCAACTCTTTATTTATTTATTTATTTATTATCATATATGAAATCTTCTGGGTTGAGTTTAAAATCTGCATTCCAAGGGAGGAAAAAACTTGTGCTTCTTATACCAGAATTGGAGTGTTACCTCTCTAACATTTGCTAATTACCAACATTGAATGTAAGCCTTTATTACGAGGATTATCGATGTGAAACTTGAATTTTGATTGTAGAACATCAAAAGTACCTAAGGAACTGGAGCTAAGTTTTGTCATGTAAGAAAAGTGAGGTGTTGAACATTTGAAATCTTACTTTTATGAAATATTAACTTAAGGAGCCCTTCTTTTTCTCATATAGTTTTCTTCTTTGGTAAATTTTGATTTTTTTATATTCATATTTTAACTAGTGTGTGTAGATACATAATGACAGGTTTAAGGTTTTTTGCTTTGGTACATATCTACAGATAATGATAAGGTTTATAACTTATTATGGAACTAATTATAAAAGAGTGTAACAGGATGTAAAATACTTACAACAACAACAAATGCCTCATCTCATTATATAAAATACTTACTTTGAAGTTTTAAATCATACAAATATAGTTCCCCTATTTCACCCCATCTTTGGTGAGAACAACAACAACTTTTTGAGGGAATGACAGAGAGAGAGAGAGAGAATTGATCCCCATGTTCTTTATCTTGCTGTCAACAAGTGAACCTTGTCATGGTCCCCATGGTTCTTTTCAAATGCCTTCATCTCCTGTCATCCAAAGATTCCAAACATTGTGTTAAGGGGCTTATCTAGGAACTTTGTTCTTTTGTTGTTATTCTGTTTTTCTTGGGTGTTTTGACTCTTAAAGACTATTATTCATCATTATATTTTCTGTTAATGTACCTTATGAACACACCTGGATGTTAACTGCTAGAATTGACTCAATTGAGAGGATCTGGTGTCTTTTATAGAACTGCTTTTGCCCAATTTATTTATTTGTGTGCCGAATGAATTTATAACCATGATGGTTCATGCTTGCATCAAATTTCAGCTGGCTGCTCCCTTTCTATGTAAACTTAGATACTTCTGTAAATTTTGTCATTTGAATTGTGATTGATGATCATTATTAAGCATACATAAGTAACATAAATTGTATACTTTGCAGGATGTAAATGAAGACACTGATGAAATGTATGACGACTTAATTAATAATTATGGAAAAGTGGTATTTAGTAGAAAAGACAAAAAGCCTGCTAGTGCAGAGATTGATGATGATGCTGAAAGCCTGTCATGTAAGCTAAAATGCAGTTTTGTCAAAAAATTTGCTTTCACCTTAATGCTTATGTACAATCTGCCTTTCTCAACATTTTGGATTATATCAGGTTTCTTCTTTAAGAAGAATCATATGTCATATCTACACAAAAATCTTCTAAAGGAATTTAGGAATAAACAGCTTTCTTAAGAATTATTTTGAACAGAACACGATGGTGTCATTTGATTCATGTACCCTACACTACCTAGTGTGAAAAGGTTTTGGTGGTTGTTGTAAAAAGACTCACTGCTTGAAGCTGTCTTCTGCTGCTTCTAGTTAATGCTACTATCTTATAAACCTCTGATCTTTGTCGGTGCTGAATGTCTCCTGAAGCAGGATACAGGGTGGTTTTCTAAGAACAAACACTAGTACAGTTTTTTCAAACAACAGTTTATAAGGTTACAGATATGCATCTACTGTTCAATTCTATAGTTTATAACTAGTCATATTACTCGAATTGGAAAAAATATATAAGGTTTAGCCTTAGGAGGTAACGGGAAGTGTATACTCATGAATAGCTTGACCTGCCTGCAATTTTGGGTGGGGGATTGGAGTCTCATTTATATAAACAATCTATGCTATAGCTTTGTAACTAGACTCATAGCTTGTTTGATATTTTTAATTTGTATTCCATACCTGTATGTTGATAAAAGATTTTTATTAATATGGTTTTTTAACTATGCAATTGTTATCATGCGTGTTTCTAAACAAATCATGCTACTTAACATGCCTCCGTCTGAGTTTGGATGGCCTTTATAAGAATATTTGATTATTCATTCAGAGGAAATAGAAAAAAAATGTAAATTATGCATACTTCACATGGAGGTTCCTTTACCTGAGTACTGAACTTAGCTCAATTGATGGCAAACCTTAAAGATAGTGTGTAATAGATGAAATTTTTTGGTGAAATTATTGTCAATTTTCAATTGGGTCAGTATCTCTTTTAAGCAAAACTAGCATGTTTCCCTTTAAAAGTTGAGCATCACAAAACATTAAGAGAAAATATCCAATTGTCATAGCAAAATACTTCAAGCAAAATAACAAGAACAATGAGCTTACTGTATCCCAACAACATATTATTTTGTTAATCACATGTGGTTCAACAGCTGCATACTATCTGATTATCACATAGACAAACCTATTCAAAATTGTGAAGTTAAATAGTCTTAAATATGTGGCAATTCAAAATCAAGTCTTGCTGGTATACTTGAGAATTCTTTAGGATCTACTGTTGTTACTGCATGCCTCCTTTACATGTAAACTCTCATATTCTGGATGTTTCTTCTGAACAACAATTAAAATAATTGGATCCTACTTTGAATCAGAGGTGCGAATCTGGAATTCCTTTTCTAAACTGTAGGATAGGATTTTGAAGCTTGGAATTTGCAATAGAAAAATGCTATTATGTTCAGTCCATTAGACCTTTTCAGAATCAAGCACCGTAACTGGTTGTTACTTTCTTTTTTGAATTGTATTTTCATTTGAGAAATTTATTTTGAATGAGTCTATAAAATTAGGAGAAAATATATAAAACATTTGAATGATATGATATAAAATCTATCAAGGACGGAACTTTTAAAATAAGCTGTTCCCTTAGTTGTTAGAATATATACAATGAAATTTTACTATGACAATTTAAATTTTATCATGTATTTGTGTCAATCTCCTTTGCCTGTGCTTCTCAGTAGAAAATCCTCTCTGCTGAAGACCTTTGTTAATATCTTCTCTGTTGGGGTGCTTTCTCGTTGGTTTATACTTTTCTGTTTATTACCCTGTACCATGGAATCCTTCTTCTGAAAGAGCATGTTATTTTCCTCTGAATACAAACATACCATCTAGGTTGGCCCTTGTTGTCATACTTGAGTGTTCCAACAGTTAGAAAAACTAGTTCAGTAACTTTTTGTTTACTTATGAATCTATTTTAGAGAGAAATATACTGCTGTGTCTCAAGTATTATCTAATTGTTAACGGTTATGTTTGTAGTTGCTGTGGAATTAGCCACGGTTGCAAGTGAGGTTAAGGCAGGAGATATAAAGGTCTTGTTTGTGAAGCCACTTGTTTACTGGACTCGATTTTTTATCATAGCTACTGCATTTTCTCGTCCCCAGATTGATGCTATCGGGTATAAGGCTTTGTCTTTGATCTTTTTATTTAGCTGGCGATTCTTGAGGGTTAGTCTTTGCTTTGCTGAAAGCAGCATATATTCATTTATGTTCATGTTGCATTTTAGGTCCAGAATTAGAGATCGAGCTGAGAAGAAATATGGAAAAATTCCAACTGGAGACACAAAACCCAACTCGTGGACCCTGTTGGACTTTGGTAAGTGATTTTGCACCATAATAGCATGACCTACTAATAGAAATTCTTTTATCACTTAAGGATAAAGTTTTAGGCGCCATCACATTCAAACCTCCCTTCAAACAGGTGTGCAACCTAAGTTGACCTTGATGGTAGGGGTGTTCAAATTGCTAAACTAAACTAAACTAAAAGAAAACTAAACTAAACTATTATCTAGATTAGTGCACTATAGTTCTAGGAGTTTGAATTAAACTATAATATCAATCAAATTAAATTATTATTAATTATAAATTAAACTATTATTAAGTACAAACTAAATTAAACTACATTAAAAAAATAAATTTAAAATCAATATTTTTAAATTGAACTACCAAATCATTGATATTAATTATAAATTAAATTTTAAATAATTTATAGATGCTTTTATAGATGTATTGCTGCTTTTATAGATGTCCAGTAAAACAATTTAAACACAAATCTAAAAATAATAGGGGGAAAGAATAACTACAGAATTAAAATATTCTTACGTTTCCGCAAGTCCGAACACCTTACGTTTTCGCGAGTCTGAACAACAAACGTGATAGTCTCCGTGAATGTGATGCAGTGCTTGTATTTGATTTTAGTGAATTGAACTATTAATTTTAATAGTTTAGCTTTATAAACTACACTAAAAGTAATAGTTTGGTTTAAACTATTAAAAAATAATTTAGTTTATTTTAGTTTAGTTTAGTTTAGTTATTTAAAAAGTTTAGTTTTAAATAGTTTTGTGAACACCCCTACTTGATGGATACTTGTCCTTATTTTACTATAGAACATTACTAAGTTCTCAGTTGCTGCTTTCAACATAGTTTCTTTTATCATGAAAAGAAAATTTTATTATTAAGGGGGGCTTTTATTTTCTTGAAGGATAAAATATCCTGAAACGTAACGAAGAATATAACATGCAGAAAGCAGGAGTATATCAGTACAGTAAAACCCTTTAATTCTCTGCATTTTACCAAAGAAATCCCTTGAAGTTGGTCTTTGCACTTCTACAAGATGTATTAAAGATACACCTTCAAAGACATAACCTGTAAAATTACTCACTGTACTCCAAAAGATGCATAATCAGCAGCCTAAACACATCATACCTCAAAAAGATTCTGCCCTGAAAAAAAACATTTTAAGCAATCAACAAAAATTTGTTTCCAATTCCAAAAGCCAGTATGATATATTAACATTTGTTAATGCACAAGTCAAGAGTTGTCCAATGGGTGTCGTTCAGTCAATTAATGGAAACAGTGGCCTCATTAGTTCTGCATTAGGCTCTAATATTCAGAATGTAAGGTTTGGTAACCATGTTTAGTACTGTCTGATCCTGGTTAGCCTTGTGATTGTTTTTCTTAATCACAGGTGATGTAGTTGTCCACATCTTCCTTCCTTCACAGAGAGCTTTCTACAATTTGGAAGAGTTTTATGGTAATGCAACACCAGTAGAGCTTCCTTTTGAAAATCAACCACCACCATTTCGCAGTTGACAGCACCTTTGGTTTGTCGGTAAATGAAAAAACTCGAGATGATGTAGACAGTTGATGAACAGCTTTGAAGGCCATTAATCACTGCCAGCTATGGTTTGTTTGCATGACTATGATGTAAACATTCCAATGTGCTTATCAGCACTTGTCTTTGAGCTTTCATTCAGCTGGGATGGGAGTGGAGAATCATTCAATGGGGGAGCAAAAAGGGTACAACATCATTGCATTCAGTAGTTCTTTTCTGGATGAATTTGTACATTAGGGTGGTAATTCCTCTCAAAAAACTGTAACAAATGGGAATAGAGATAATTTTTTATTGTCATAAATTTGGTTTCAACTAGTTTAATATCAGGTAGTGTTTGTGAAATCTTGTATATTTTTTTCTTCTACATTTACAACAAAAGAGAAAAGAAGGGGACACAAGAAAACTTTTGATTCAAAGGAACTTTTTACAGTTTTTTTTTCTTTTTCTATTTGGTTTGGACTAAAAAATCAAAACTAACAAGAATGAAGAAGCTGAAGATGAACCATGTTTTGCCAGCCAATCTGGACAAAAATTTGCCTCCCCATAGATGTGCATTAATCCAAGGTAAAGACTTGAAACTCTTAACCATGTTAATCATGGAAACTGGATGCTTAGAATTATCACTATGCTGCAATAACTGAAGAGCTACCAAAGAATCCGATTCACGTATCAATTTTGTAATGCCTTTATTCCAATAGTCATTAGGGTTGGCAAACAAGCTGAAAGGTTTATATATGTGACGAATTATGTTAAATTTGAAATTTGATTTATATATATAACATTGGTCTGTAAGTTTTTATTTTGTTAGCACTTCACTTCAAGTCTCATACGTTATTATTTGTATGTATTTTGTTTCATTTTGTTGTGGGTTATTCTTGCTTTTTATTTTATTTTGTTGTGAGTTATTCTTGTTCTCTATTTTTTTTGTGTTTAATTGTGTTTTTGATTCCTCTAGTATTACAATTGTGTAATTTTAGTCTTTAAGGTTCTAATTAATAAGTTTAGTCCCTTAAATAGCAAATAATTTAACTTGTTTTGGAATGTTTCTTAAGTAAGATTTGAGAGTTTTTTTTTTTTTTTAAATGTTATCTTGCCTTTCTTTTTTGTATGCTCAAGCTGATATAGCCTCAATTCTCACTCTTCTGAGAATAAAAGGTAAACAGAAGGGTAAAACGACAATTGATGGAGATTAGTTGAAGAAGATTGATGAACTTCAACTCCTCCATGCTTAGGACCGGAATGCACTTGAGGTAGACACCTTTAGATCTCTGAATTCTCCTTGGAAGAAACTTCAAAGGAGGAGAAGTCTTTGAAGGAGATTCGGCCACTCCTTAAACTTGTGAAGGAGCTTGAGGAACCAAGCAAAGTTTGAAGAACTTTGCTAGAAACCTAGAGAGAGAATTTCTCACGATAGACCTTAGTTTGAGGTTACCTATTAAGTAATACATTTGTAATCTAATTTTTTTTAATCATAATTGAGCTTTAATCATCTTGATTACCTTACAAATTGGAGAGTAATTTACCTTATTCAACAATTAAAGGTGTTGAGTGAACGTATTTGGTAGTGTTAAAGTGTATAGGAAATCGAGGGTGTGACACCCTTACTACCCCAACACATATACTATAACTTTACAAATAAATGTTTAAATTTCGGTAAAAGGGTTCACATGAGAAATTTCAAAAATCGTTCTTCAATAACTACAATAATAAAGATTTAGAAAAATGAAACACAAGAGTTTACAAATTGTTTTCAAAATGATATTTACAAATCCAAATCCATATAAAAATTCTGTTCTAAAAGTCCTCTGCCCCGATGTCACAATATTAGAGCATACCCCTAATTTAACTGTTGGCATTCTGGATGCCACTCGTAGCCGAATCTTCCTCACCTAAAACATCCACAAAATTGTACGGTGAGAAAAGAAAATATCTATATGTAAAGTACATACAAACACAACATATCATCTCATTACAACTCGATACTCAACAAAATATTCATAAACATTTCAATGTATCATAACTTTATCAATCGCGTATCATCATCATGTCACAATTCGCAATCACAACAATCATCACAAATCTTGCAATCAATCATATGTCAAGATCACGCCTATAGCATCTCTTGCCCAAATTCGTGCCACCCCTGACATAAGTATTAATTGCCTCACACATCCCACACCATGTCAGTGGTACGCTCGTCCTGTGTATATGGAATTGTGTATGTGATATGAAATTGAGCTGTGAAATGAGATGTTGTATGGATGTGATTATGATTGTGATTGTGGTGCCTCACATCAATGACCAGGGATGGCACGAACCCTGGGTAAGTGATGCTACAGGGAGGGCGTGACCCTGACATGGTGTGGGATGAGTAAGACGATTAACACGTATCATTTATGTCAAATATGGCAGCCCTGGCATAGGGTTAATTGCAAGAGATTTTGTGGATTGTGATGTGATTGTGGTTCCTCACATCAATGACTAGGGATGGCACAATCCCTGGGTAAGTGATGCTACATTATATTAAATTGGTAATTCCGTTGATTATTATATTAATTTATGAATGTTATTGTTATATTACTTGTTAAAAATTGATAATCTAGATGTGAATTGCTTGAGGGGTGTGTAAACCCTTATTTTGTTAGACTTATTTGTTGTGTATATGGAATTGTGTATGTGATATGAAATTGAGCTATGAAATGAGATGTTGTATGGATGTGATTATGATTGTGATTGTGGTGCCTCACATCAATGACCAGGGATGGCACGGCCCCTGAATCCATATAAAAATTCTGTTCTAAAAGTCCTCTGCCCCGATGTCACAATATTAGAGCATACCCCTAATTTAACTGTTGGCATTCTGGATGCCACTCGTAGCCGAATCTTCCTCACCTAAAACATCCACAAAATTGTACGGTGAGAAAAGAAAATATCTATATGTAAAGTACATACAAACACAACATATCATCTCATTACAACTCGATACTCAACAAAATATTCATAAACATTTCAATGTATCATAACTTTATCAATCGCGTATCATCATCATGTCACAATTCGCAATCACAACAATCATCACAAATCTTGCAATCAATCATATGTCAAGATCACGCCTATAGCATCTCTTGCCCAAATTCGTGCCACCCCTGACATAAGTATTAATTGCCTCACACATCCCACACCATGTCAGTGGTACGCTCGTCCTTGTAGCATCACTTACCCAAGGTTCGTATCATCCCTGGTCATTAGTGCGAGGAATCACAATCACATCACAATCACATCACAATCAATTCATCACAATCCACATAAATCTTACAATTAACACTATGCCAAGGCCACGCCACAACTGACATAAGTGATACGAGTTAATTGCCTCACTCATCCCACACCATGTCAGGGTCACGCCCTCCCTGTAGCATCACTTACCCAGGGATTGTGCCATCCCTAGTCATTGATGTGAGGAACCACAATCACATCACAATCCACAAAATCTCTTGCAATTAACCCTATGCCAGGGCTGCCATATTT